ACGAATCCTTTTTTTTTTTTTTTTTTTTTTTAAAAAAAAAAACAGTAACACGGATTTTTCCGACATATGGGTACGCCGGCCGGGTTAACTCATCACTCGCGGAATAATGTTATACTTAACCAGTTGCAGTCTTTGGGTTTAACAAAGAAAGACATGGACACCTCCTGAAATCCACTGCAATTTTCCAAACACTCAAGTACCTACAGCAAGTGCAATGGGGGTGCAGCGAACCGGGCAGGACCCACAGCGAGGCACGGTATTGGAAACAAGATTCTCTGCGCTGCTGTTACACACCAGCTTCCAAAGCTTTTGAATTTGGGTTCCCCGCCGAAACTTCGCCACAATATCTCTGCACCTTTCATTGAAGTGAATTCCTAAAAAGGGGGCAGCAAATTGGTTCCACGATACAGTGGCAAAAGTCTAGGGGGGTAGTTCTAGTACAACACAATCTTTTTACTGAGTACTGTCACCAGTGTAAAAAGATTGTGTCGTACTAGAACTACCCCCCTATACTGTAACCCTAGGACAGTACTGCAGTATTTTCCTTGACACTGGTGACAGTACTCAGTACTCGTGCAGTCCTGGGTCCAACAGGCCCGCCTAAGGCAACAAGGGAAGAACACTTCGCAAACCTTAAAAAACTGCAAACAATCACAAGATAGGACAGAACATTCTAACACAAAGAAAGGAAGGCGCCAGTTCAGGTCTGCTGCTCAGGTAGCCGCCTCTTGAGCCTGGCCTAGAAGAAAACGCTGCAAGAAACAAAAGAGGAGAAGAAAGAATGGGAGATAAAGAGGACACTGATGCCTGTTCTGCACATCAGCAGGCTTGTACGATTGCAACTTCGCTTAATTCACCCGCTCCACAATGGGAAACCCTGCAAAATGACATGCCAACTCCATATGTACAGAAAAGAAGGCACTCCAAGGCAGAGAGACCCATCTTCTTTCCACAGTTGTTTCACTGGAAGGGTACAATTTGCAAGAGGTCCAGGTCAGCGCTAAATCACAAGGCAACATACATACACAGTTTATCCGAGACACAGGAATTGGGGGCTGCAGTGTGCAGGCGACATACACAGCTTATCCCACTACAACTGACGGCCCGCAAAGGATATGCAAGGACCAAGGTAGGATGGATGCACGACGACAGACTACATACATAGCTTATCCCACTACACTGACGGCCCACAAAGGATATGCAAGGACCAAGGTAGGATGGATGGATGCAACAGGACAGACTACAAAAGGGGGGAATGATGATCAGTGAGGACATGGAACTGGTTCAGAAAAATGGCAAGGAGTTGATCCTACCAAATGGCATGTATGCAGAGGAGGGCAAGAGACACCAGCATGTTCAACTACAGTAGGAATCTGTAGGATGGATGAGAAAAACAGCAAACGGGGGTCATTACTACCAAGTATGGATTTAAACTGATTTAGCGAAAGGAAAAGCCAAGTGATCGCGTCATAATAGCATGCATGCTGCCACGGGCAAGAGACCCCAGGTACCACATATCCCTCCCCCGCCGTGCATGATTGGAAACAATAGCCGTGACATACATGCTGAGCGCATCAAGCACATCCCAGAGATCCACCAGGTAGCACATATCCCTCCCCCCATGCATGATGGAAAGCAATNCAGGTAGCACATATCCCTCCCTCCCCCCACGCATGATGGAAAGCAATAGCCGTGACATACATGCTGAGCGCATTAAGCACATCCCAGAGATCCACGCCACATGTCCCACAGTTTTTCAGGAAAAGCTACCCGTGACCATGAGCTGAAGATGCCACGTATCTTCTCCCTCCTGTTGCGTAACTCCCACATATCTCCTCCCTCCTGTTGCATAATGGATGCCACCAGCGATGACATGCATGCTGAACGCATTGAGCGCATACTGAGTGTCCCTCCCACGTGTCCTGCAGATCATCAAGAAAACGTGCTCATGATCCTGAACTGCCCGAATATTGAATTACGACAAGCACTCTCGAAAAGTCTGCACCTTCCTACCATCCCCTGCTCATCACCTGGCACATTACATAAAACGGCATATAGACGACATCTCCGAATCAAGAGACTAAGTCAAGCATTTGGGCTGTAGCATCCACAATCTAAGCGACAAGGTAAGAACAAGATGGGAATGGATATCCATCTCCTCCCTCCTACAGCCTCAGCGGAAAGAAGACTATAGACAGGGAACGTTGTGATCAACGTCGATTAGATGGAATACTACTCTGAGAGAAGACGTGCCCTCATTGTTCGCAACGTGAAATACAATCAGGAAACTATCAAAACATTGCTAACAGATTCACAGTACCAACTACCCAGCAATAGCAAGCACCTCTCTCTCTCTCTCTCTCTCTCTCTCTCTCTCTCTCTCTCTCTCTCTCCATGTATGTACCTACCCATTCTCACGTGCACGTATTCCTCCGCCCTTTTCCCCTGGTTCCTCACCATGGGACAAGCCAACTTAAGTACTGCTTTTGCCCCCAGAATGTCTCGCTCTTCTTGGGGGGGGGGGGGGGGGGGGGGGGGGGGGGGGGGGGTCTCGAAAAACCACCGAAGTAGGCACAGTCATCATTTTGCAACAAGCCGCTATCATCCTTATCGACGCCAGGGCGGGGCGTCGTGCGTTGGACTCAAAGGTTGAGAAGAGAAAAGGCGCGAGAAGTAGCGCAAGAGGGGGGGGGGAGGGAGAGGGGGAGGGGGGGGGGGGGGGGGGGGGGGGGGGGGGGGGGGGAGAGAGAGGGGGGGAAGCTTTCGCGTGTTCGTTTGTACGCTTGGGAAGCTGGGTGCGAGGGAAAGAGAGGGGAAGAAGGGGGTAATTGACTTGGGACTGAGAAGGCATCGGCATAGAGAGAAAGACGGCGTGAAGGGTTTGTCCGCATGCAATAGTATGATCATACAGAAGAAAAGCTGTGGGAGAAACAGAGATTGGAGACCAAGTCTGAAGGGAAGGGAGGGAAGAGAGAGAAGCAGTATGCACAGAAGACGAAGCATGTCGGGGAAGGAACGCCGCGCAAGGTAGATAACAGAGGAACAGAAATGCCCACCGAAAGATGGTGCGGAGGAAGGGAGCTCTTCCTCTGCATCCCCCACTCTAGCGGGGATAAGTCCCAGACAGAGGAACAAATGGAGAACACAAGAACGAGAAATTCCACGATGATCCACCACCAAGGATGAAGGCTTGCCCCCCCACATCGCTTCATTCCTTCATTAGCGAATTCTCTGCCTGCTCCTCTCACCCGGAAAGCAACAGTGGGAGAAAAGGGCTCCTCCATGAGCTCCTTATCGACTACTAATCCATCCTGGAAACCCACTTCTTAGCAACGCTGTCGCTCAAGTACCTGCACGTTGGCTGAAGGACGAACCTAGAGCTGTTTGTTCCTAAAGAGGTTAGGATTTCACATCCTGTGGAATGCAACGCTGCTGCAGAGGGATTAAACCCCTCGTGGAAAGACAACCTACGATGGATTTCGTGGACCATAAACAAGGGGTGCGAAATCCCCGCTCGGAAAGCTAACCTACAGCGCCAAGGTGATGATTTCAGAGAGGGCTTCACACGGATAGGCAGTTCCAGGGAACAACCGTCTTCCCCCGAACATAACGCACCCTAAAAATGAATGTATACAAGCTACATTTCCGGCCAGATACAGCCAAAATGAGGGTGCGTTGTGTTCGGGGGAAGAGGATAGGCAGTTCCAGGGAACAACTGGGCAACGTACAGGCACTTCGAAGAAAAAAGATACGGAACGAGTTGCTCCCGTGATTCGGTACGACAATAGGGGAGAAGCGAGTTAAGCAAGGTGGTAATCAGTTACTACGACCAGGGGCATAGTCAGACCAGGACCTTCTGAATGGACTCCGGAAGCAAATGCAGTAATATGGGCATGCAGAAAACTCCTTAGTGTGAGTACACGCTCTGAGTAAGCCAAAGGGAAAAAAAAAAGCGAGGTTCACGGCTTTCAGGGAAAGAGTGGTGAACTGCCCACAGCTTTGCTTTCCCTTCCCCATGTTCTGCCACCTCTCCGCTCACCATTGCTCTGTTAATCCCATTCAAATGACCCCGATAAAACCTGTTAGACCCACAAAGCTGACGCGCCAAATTCTCCAATCACGATGGATGCTTCCTCATGTAAAACGTGTACGCAAGACGTGTGCCCTCGTGAGCAGGGCCCTTCGTCGTTCGCTGTGTTTAGGACCGAATCCGTTAATCTTGATGTCCCCAGCGTGAAAGGATCCTGTATGATCGCCAAGCCGGCGTCTCTAGCACAGGACAGCAGGGACGTTGAACAGCGCGCCACCAGCGAATTCAGCCCTCATACAATCAGCAAACCATTCGACAAAGCCGCATGCCCGCGCATGTACGAGACTGCAGCCGCTGGAACTCCGCGAGAAGAAAAAAACAGGGAGGAAAGGAGGGAGGCGAGGAAAGGGAGAGGGAGGGAAGGAGAGGAAAAACACGCGCGCAACCCCCTTGGGACCAAAAGCCAGCACGACGATACTTGCAACGGCAGCACGACAGCCTGACATTCGTCGAGAGACCGAATGACAGGAAGGGATAACGGGAGTAGCAAAGAGGCGCTGATTACTCCACAAAGATGATAATGACTGTAAGCAAGAAGATATTGGGTACAGCGATTGATAAGACACGAGCTGAACATGGAGAAACACTGTTACACTACACGGTCAAGAGTCTGAGCTAAGTACAGAAACCACTACATTACATGAGATGTTAAGGAAGGACACTGGCTTCATTCGCACTCTTGTGAGCCAGGCATGCATGCATTCAACCTCTCCCACAGACGGGGAAAAAGATGAGCGAGAGAAAATCAAAGACTGAGCACGGGGGGGAGGTAAAAAGGACAAACAACATAAAAAGCGCGGGAAAACGGGACATACAGCACAGCCTCTGACAAACTGCGAATGGCAGTCGAATTGTTGAGTTGATTTCGTAAATAGGCGCGGTGTCGTCATTTCCAAGATGCCCGAATACTCCACATATAAGTGCAAATTAGGGACAAGCAATCACGGAACTCGTAGCAAAGATGAACGACCGTGAAGAACTGTCTTCGAAACCACAAAGAATGAAAAATACGGAGAGGATGAGAAAAGGAGGATGATGGGGATGATAACAGGGATGGTAACAGGGAGTAGATGAGAATGATGATAACCTATGTACATCGCTATGCTTCTTTTTTCCTATTCTCCAGCTATTTCTTCTATTCAACAATTTCTTCATTTTCTTCGTTCTTCCTCCCCTCGTCCCCCCCCCCCCTCCCCCCTCCACCTCGTCCTTGCCATCAATCCTCGTTCAAATCGTAACATAGTGCGTAGAGAAAAGCACATGCCAGCTACCTATTTTCGGCCCCTCTTCCCACCATTCCAGTCCCAGGCAGGTAAGTTGCCCTGTCTCAGGTAGGTAAGTCTCTCTCCCCCTCTCTACCTAACGACCCACGACCCATCCACCCTCGGGAATCCCTCCGTCACAGCCATAGCCAAATAAGCTAACGCCATACGGCCTGCTTCTTCCCATCACCGAGCAGCTTGATAGTCATCAAAGAGCGATAACAGCGGCAGATCCACAGCTGACTGAAATTTACACCGTAATTGCTCTTCGCCCATCCATTAATTTTTCCTCCAACGTCCCTCATTTTCTCATTCACAGTGCGCACATACGGTGATGAAGATGAACATTCCACCAAAACAATAGCATCCACGAAACCAAAGCTTCCACCTTCACCATTCCTCCCTTCCATGCACCCTCTCTCTCTCTCTCTCTCTCTCTCTCTCTCTCTCTCTCTCTCTCTCTCTCTCTTCTCTCTCTCTCTGTCTCTCTCTCTTCACCACCCCTCCCCCTGTTTACTCACCCAACGTTCTCCATCGCTTCTTGTTAGATGCGCAGGTGCCCGAGCATATGCAGATTCTTGCACAGCCCGGAGATGCAACAGAATTCCTTGAAATGAGCGTCCGTTTTCCCCGGATGATCCTCCGCCCCCATCCTTTACCCTGCCCATCATCCACGGACAGCATGTTCCATCCATTCTATGTTCATCGGTCGTATCGCGCACACGATCCAGACCAGTACCCTGCCCACAATCTGCTGGACAGCATGTTCCATCGAATGCTCACCACTTGAACCAAGCGCATGATCCAGACCATCTGCCCGCCGCCTGATTTTCTCTCTCATCTACCCCTTTGGGTTTCCCAACGAAATTCTTTCTATCGGTGAAATCCGAGACGCGCATAAAAATGGACACTTCGCTTCCTCCGCACCTTCCTGCCAGCCAGCCTGCAGTGCACAACGCTCACGGGGTAGGCATGCTTGCTCTACTCTCCAACCACAGCAACCATCTCCACTCCACAACCACAGCAACCATCTCTCCTTTGCAACCACACAATGGACTTACCTCAAATACATGAATTACCGCAGCCGTAAACAGAGTCCCGCACTACCGCCGTCGTCGACAGGTTATCGAAATCGTTCACATTCGCATCATCACTTACTCCGTCCAGGCTGCCCGTACACCTCGCAACTCCTAATCTTCCACCCTTCTCTCTCTCTCTCTCTCTCTCTCTCTCTCTCTCTCTCTCTCTCTCTCTCTCTCTGTGTCTCTCTGTCTCTCTCTCTCTCTCTTTCTCTGTGTCTCTCTCTCTCTCTGTGTCTGTCTCTCTCTCTCTCCCCCCTCCCGTCTCGCACAGCCCACCGAGCAATGGAAGACTGACAGCCACACCCAAACGAAACCACTACCCTTCCCTCTTTCACCCCTTCCCTTCAGCCTCTGTTTTCTTGTGCGACCCCCTGTCGCTTTCCTCCATACTCACACCGGTTATGCCCTCCATCCCTACAAGGGACAGGAAAGAAGGCAACCATGCACTCGCCGTAGCCGGACCATCTCCCTTTACCCTCCTCTGCCTCTCTCAGCAATTGCCATTCGATGCAGCTGTTAGCTGAAGCGCCCCATTAGCGGCGTTCCCGTTCCCCAATCCGTCATACCCGTGGTATCCGTTCATTCCCGGTAGCGAAGGGGTGGATAGCCCCCACAGCCTTACGGTCTTGTCATCACTTGCCGAGGCGAACATGTGCGGATTGACCGGGTTCCAACTCACAGCATTGACAGTGCCGCTATGTCCCGCCAATTTCTCGACAAGCTCTCCGTTCCTCCGCAGCCATATGTACACCTGAGAGTCCTCGCTTCCGCTTGCAATGAACGCCTCGTCGCTTCCCCCGAAACATGATCGGATCACGAAACGCACACGTTTCTGTCCTTTGTACTTGAAGGTGGGCTTGTCGGAGAGCGGTTTGGCGTTGAGATCCCACAAATGGATTTCTTGAATATCGAGACTGGCCAGCATGTACCTGTCGTCCCGCGAAATGCACAGAGAGGTGATGGAATTGTCCAGAGTGATCGTGCGGTCACTCTTGTCGTCGAATCTGTGAATCTTTATTTCCTTCTCGCCCGCGCTAATCATCCGCAGCCCGTCCTGGCTGATTGTCAAGTCAGAAATTCTAGAGTTCGTCTTGTGACAATCCAGTTCCGTTCCGTCGATGCCCCAAAAATATATACACTTGTCGCTCCCGCCAGTCACAAACCGTCTGTTATCCGGAAACCAGGCGCACGCCGAAACCAGCTCCGTGTGCTTCAGGAACGTCCGCTTGCACTCCCCCGTCATCGTGTCCCACAACTTGACGAATTTCTCCTGCCCACAGGTCAAGAGCATCTTGTCGTCAGGACTCCACGCCACGAAGGACAAATGCCCCTCGTGGCCAACGAGCTTGTGCTGGAGCTTCACGTGGTAGGCGTCAAAGACTTGCCAGACGATGACGGAACTGTCCTTGGAAGCCGTAGCCAGTCTCGTGCCATCGTGGGAAAACTGCACATACCAGACCTCGTCCGTGTGCTCTTCCAACACAGCCGTCGCCTCGCTCGGAATAAGATTCTTGCCGCACTGGTGATCAGACAGCAGAGAGAGAGTTTGCTCGCGGGTATTGTGGAACAAACAATTTTCGCGCTGGACGGAGAGAGCTTGTTCCACAAGAGCCTCCAACCGCCTTTCAGGAATAAGCACGGAGGGTGGAAGCAAGTGTTGAAGAGTGAGCAGGAGGTCGTACCGCGCCTGGAGAGAGCTGCCTGACCATCCCGCTTTTACCATCAAGTCTTCCTTGCACGTGCACATCACGCAACTCGCCAGCTGATGTAGACGCCACGTGTTGATGCCCAATGCCCCCAGCTCACATCGTAGCACCTTCAGCGCTTGAGGAGACTTCCCTTGCTCCAGAAGTTCCAGAAACTTCTGCTGCAGAATCTCGAATGTCGCCCTCTTCAGAACGTCGGAATCATCCAGCTGAAGTAGGCCAAGGAGGGCCACACACTCGTCCCATCGCCCGCCGAGAATGCCGTCGCGAAAACTGGCAACGGCAGGAGACTGGAGGCAGACCCCGGACTCTTCTTCCAGCCGAGAGGCGGCTCCGTTGTAGCCCAGACTGTACAACGCTTGCGCAATAATTCGAATGAACTCCGACTTCCGAATCTGGCCCTTGGATCCAATCGTCTCCTCGGCATCGACGGCTGGCAAGCGGCCAAGCGATCCTTCGAGAGTAAGGGGAGCGCCCGCCCCTGCGGCGGCAGCGGCAGCCGCCTCAGTGGCATCATCACCCCCACCATCGGCTGAGCCGCAGGGCTTGCCTGCCATAGCAAGGGGAAGGAAAGCGAAGGCCGCGGCCCCCGCACGCCACGCACAAGAAGCAGAGGCGGAAGTCAAACCGCGAAACGGGTAGTCCGCGCCCCTCGAGCCGAGACGACCTCCTCCTTCTTCCTGGCCCTCTTCCCCCYCCCCTCCCCCCTCACTTCCGCCTTCGCCGCCGCCGCAGCTGCCGCCGCCGGCTCCACCCCCGCCGTCTCCCCCTCGACCCAGCAGCACACTGTACTCTAAGTAATGATTCAAACGAGCACGTTTCGATGGGGGGGCACCCTCATCAGCGTCTCCTCCCATAAAGCCACCTGCCGGCCAGGGGCGACCCCGTGCCGCCCACGGCCACACCTACACCATGCCAAATAGACGAAGTCTAGCCCACGTCCGCCTCGTCACGCCACCCTATGCCACGCAGATATCAACAATAAAGCCGCTGCGTATTTGAGGGAGAGAGAGGAAGAACAAAATTGTACAATGGATGAGCGAACGAATCCAGGAGCGATCGATGGACTAGAGATGAATATCTGGGTGGAGAGATGGAGGTGTGGAGAGAGAGGCAAGGAGGAAAGTGGTGCACGAGGGAGCGAAGGATCAAGAGATGGATGGAGTACGGTGTGATGGAGTAGTAGATCAATAGATTTGTGGTTGACTGATGGGGAAGCGGACGAATACGGATAGAATGCGGCAGCCCTTTCCCTGAACAATCAATCAAAAAAACCATCAATCAAGCAATCAAATACCCCCACCCAGCTAAATCTTACCTCCTCTCGCGTCAACGTAACAGCAGCGAAAAACCGACTGAACCCCAAGATATGGCGCGGCTATGAGATCGTTTCGTTATCGCTATGTTGTCGCTATCGTTCTCTTTCTTGAACCCTGATTGCAACTCTTGTCCTCCCCGCGCCGCTCCTCGACAGCGTCCACTGACGGTTTGTCAGTCGATCAATCATGCGCGATGTTCATTTGTGTTAACTCCCACCCACACCATCGCGCTCACGTGAAGGTGGCTCTTTTCGAATCAGCACGTTCTCCTTTGCTTCCAATCGAGCACTCTCCGACATCAACCTTCGGCGCAAGGCATATTACAGCCGAAAGCATGGAACAGATGCCCCTACGTGAAGTAGATCTTCACTTTTCCGTCCACTTCTGCTTCTTCCCGCCACCTCTCTCTCGCCACCGGAGTCTCCAGCTCCTCCTCTTCCACACGCCCCACCAGCCTCTGCTGCTCGCTCGCGTGCGCGCGCTTCCGCGCGCTCGCACGACATCATTTGGCAGCTGTAACTCAGCCTGCGCTGCTGCCCTCTTCACTCAGCGTAACCTTATTTCCCTTTCCACCGCGGCCTTGCCGAGCACCGTTGGGCACACGTGCCTTTGTCGTCTTCGCTGATTCCGCATTTCGCGCTAATCTCACGGATGAGGTGAGCGTGTGCGAGCGTGATGTACACAATGATGTGATGAACACGATGAAATGATGTGTGATGTTCACGATGATGCCTTGTGCCTTGCCTCCGATTTGGGTGATCGCGACTTCGCCCTCGACAACACCAGAACCGAGTTATTGGAGTCGATTTAGGGCAAGCATTCACCAACGCAAGACTTGCAGACGTGCCCCCTCTCTCTGTCTATCCAAGCGCACACTCTCCAAGCGTGGCCCCACCTCCTTTCGCCCTCCCCCCATGTCCCCACTCCCCTTAGCTACCCCCTTGAGATCAATCCCAACCGTATGCACGGCGAGTGTACACCAGAGCGAGGAATGCTCCAGAGTCTGCACGAGGAAGCTGCGACATTGTGCTCTTTTCCACGGAACGGTACGCATGTACGGCAGGGGAGTGTTTGCAGCCCTATGGCTGCGGTTCTAGTAGGTCCAGCGTCTGTCGGCTACGTTGCCCTTAATTTTTCCTGGACGACAGCTTGAGTGAGGTTTGTGGGGGTCGATCTCTTGGCAAAATCGCATATAGGCCTTTTCTGTTTCCTTTCTCTATAAATGTTCGTCTGGCACCCGGATATGAACTCAGGTCTGCGTTTCAATTGTCTGCTGGTCCCCCGGGGAACGCAGCCCCAAGAGATGATGGTTTTCCCCCCCCCCCACACACACACACACACAGAGATGCAGACAGTTGACTAAGACAAGGATTAGTCAACATCGATAGGATAACGTGCGCACGCGAGACAGAGAGAGAGGGAGAGAGGAACACAGACAGAGACAGGGATCGAGAAAGAGAGAGTACATTATATAATACTCGATCATGATCGATCTTTGTCCCTCTTTGTGTCAAGAACTCTCTCTCTTCACTAACTGTTTGTAAATCCTCTCTAGTAGATAGCGTGCTGCGTGCACCAGACTACGTGTTGTTACTGTCACTAACGTGCATGCGTGCATCCAAGTCACCTATCCACTATTGATTATATTAGTGGAAGATGATAAGCTATGGTCGTGGACCTCCTCTCTCTCTCTCTCTCTCTCTCTCTCTCTCTCTCTCTCTCTCTCTCTCTCTCTCTCTCTCTCTCTCTCTCTCCCTCCCTCCTTTTTTTTTTTTGTAATATGTGAGAAGCTCGTTTCGATCCTCTTCTTGGAACATCGTGCCAGCGGATCTCTGTCAGGAGCTACTCTTTTCTTTCTTTTTTTGATTTACGTGTGTCATGCTAAGCTTCTCTATATCGTTTCGTTTTAACAGATATCGAAAAGAACTCTCTCCGTAGTTTCAATCGTGAGTCCAAACACATTCCACATGCAGCAACGACGACACTTTTTTTTTTTGGTCTAGGATAGGAGTTATGAAAACGTATTGTGCGTATGGTACTCTCGATAAATGGTCCATTTCAAAACCAGTTTTTGGAGTCAACATGAAATGAACAACCGGTTCTTCGAATTTGCGAAGGTACCAGTTTTACAAGTGATAGTTGTAATTTTGCGAAGGACCAGTACCTCGATAAATTCAACCCCTCCAAAAAAACCTTATCGGTTGATCGCCCCCTGCAAAAAATGTGTCACATTGACACTCACACCCAAACTCACTTAACTGCAACCCTAAAGGCTATGAAAAGTTTATGGTCGTACCAACTGAGCTAGGTCCACAGGTGTAGGTCTTTTTTTTTGTAAGTACTTATGTGTTTAGAATAATGATCATTCAATTTGTTAAAGCAGGGAACACAACCATAAGGTTTTTTTTTTTTCTTTCAATTTTATAAATTGAGAAGAGGTTTTAGACGACATCCAAAAATGTAGGTTTTTTTTTTTTTTCTCTCTCTCCCTCTCTCTTATATTTTTTTATTGCAGTCGTTGCTATAACTACTTTTTTTTTTTTTTAAATCATTGTTTCTATAATTAAAAATAATAAATTTATATTAACAATGTTGTAAACTACGTCCAGTGTCCCTCAACATTTATCATCATTATGGTCAATTGATCTTAAGGCACTTGGATTCAATACTATCTGTTTGGGAAATTTTACCATTGCTCAATCTCTGTTTTCACAATAATTGTATTGGATATTTATTGAATGATCCCCGACATAATTGATTGTTTTCCTTTATAATGATTGGTCATAATGTCTTTACTTTACATTTGTTTCTTTTGTTATATTGTTTTATTTTATCCCAAGCTATTTCAATATTCCTTTTACTTAAAAAAATAGACCGATCGTTATAGTTTTTCCTCTTATACCGCTAAATTTTATTGTTAAAAAAAATATGTTACATTGAGAATTTTCTCAATATTTTTTAATGAAATTATTGAAAGTTTTGTTGTTTAGTGTATTGGCTTCGTTGTTCCGGTTGAGCGGAGCAAGGAACCCCTCCGGGTCGAGTCAAATGGACGTTGTAGGACTTAAAAGAATTCGGTCGTCTATTAAAAAAAGGACGAATGCACTATTCGTACCTAGGATAAGATATTGCAATGCACAATTTTCCTTTTACAAGGAGTTGTCATCATTTTTAGATGTGTATCACTATCGAAAAACTGGTCAACGTACAAAAGTTTATACTTGCAATTGCAGTGATAGATCGATTGAGGGTATTTGCTTGTTCGTTGTAGATACGTACACGAAGTTAAAACGTCAATCGAACTCGAATATTGTTTCTTCCCTGATACGCTGTAGAGCGCATGCGTACCGCAGGGCGGGACCCTCCCGGTCACGTCACGCAAGAGTTGGTAATTCACGATACTACAGAGTTTTCGTAACCGCTTCGGCTGGGTGCGCCAACCATACCTCGTGTGAGCCCCTACGACAGGATAGGGCCTACACGAGGTACAACTTACCTCCACCTGAGGGAGATGTCACCTCCTTTCATTGGTCGTATCCCTGTTGAGCAACCGGTCCACAGTACAAAAGCTAATTACTTGCAATCATAGAGGTGGGTCAGCCGAGGGTGTTTCTCGTACGTTGTAGCATAGGGGGTACGCGCGGTCCCATGCCTATCGAACCCGCACGTGAACCGACGCCTTGGGGGACGAAAGTCCCAAGCGCGACTCGTCGTCAGCCGACTAGGACATATCTCACTCACCACGCGTTACACCACACTAAAAACATAAAAGAGAAAATTACGTGGGAGTCACAAAAATAAGTTATAATTGCAATATGGGCCAAGATACAGTTTGCAACCCAATTTTATAGCCAGGTAGGATGCCCCAAGTGCAACTGCAAACTTTATTTTTCCCCCTAGTGCAATTATATATATTTTTTTGTGACTCTACTGAAGTTACCTCAACATAAAATTAAAACACACACACAAAACAAAACACTCATAGTCCCTTTAGTATGCAACCCATAACCTTCCGACGCAGAAATGCGCGCGAGACTTAGTATAAAACCGCGCGGACGCTGAACCTTCTCATATCGACTAGTAATGCAAACATACGCAAGCAGTTGTAATGATGACGTACTATGTAGTACCCATAATCATGTGGTCCTTGATAGTCTCGAGGGCCTCGTTCGACACTCAAGTGTCGGTTAACACGCGCCTTGAGGGGTTAATCTCTCGATGCTAGATAACCGTCAAGTGCGGTTGAGAACCACACCCTCTTCTGCACCCTGCGGAGAGTGGGTGTTACACAGGTTCATACTTGTGGTGAAAGTCATCTCTCGAGGCTTTGAAGGCAAACTCCATCATCCAGGGTCTAGAGAGAAATCAAAGGATGTGACTTTGACTGTTACCACGGACTACAACGTCCAATTATAAAAATTCTTAAAAAGCAAAGGTAAAAGGGAATCTTCATTTTCGCTAAAGGCATACTTTGATTATCACTTACGCACGGTCGCAATAGGCCACGTGAATGCTCAAGGCATATGCATGTATATATATATAAGGGGTATATAATATGAGATGATTACTTCTCACAGTCATAGTGATACTTCCTCCAACCATATATGTGTGATCACAGACAATCAAATTCAGAGTCTGAATCACAAACATACATGCAATCACATTAAAGATTCAACCAAAAATTCATATGCTACAAGGGGTCAACTTCAACCACTCTCTACGCTCGTACCCCTCGCTTTAGCCATACAAGCCTCAACCTTCCCGCAATAAAGTACTCAGTATCTTTGTTAAATGACTATTTAATAAAATACAGGTAAAAATCCAACAAACAAATAAAACCACAGGGGTTAAAACCTTTAGGTTGATTTAGCGAGAGTGAATTGGAGTTGGATCATAAACCGACAAATCGACAGTCAACCTCTTATTAGTAATAACAGAAAATACGCCTCGTAAAATCATGCTGAATCTAGTCTGATATTGAATCGAAATGTTCAAAAAAGGCATGTAACAGAAAACAGACTAATGTCAAAGGCTAGATTATTAGTGTATGAGGAATGAATCTCCATAACACATTCTCACTCAAAATTTTATTTATATTAGGGTTAAGTATACCTTTAAGCAAGTGCCCAAAGAAAGGTAAACCTTTGGCAGAATTTTCCTTATGCAGGGTCGATCATCAGAATCGCCACCTGTCAAAATATAATCTATCTTCTCTAAACTAAGAAAATTTTGGTAGCACTTATCGTACGAAAAGTGTCTTTTCATAATTTATATTAGCTTGAATACGAAAACTGAAATAGTTTTGAACTCTAGAAAGTCAAATTTTGTTTAACTTTCTGGATTAGTAAACATTTGGGCAATATCTCCCTTAGAAAAGTAAACTTCCTATATTTATACCAAGTCATATAAGAACTCAATACAAGACTTTAGTCATGCCAAAACAAAACTTAACTAGCCCTTTAGATTTGTAGAAATTTCGGCAACACTTCCCGTAGGAGAATTAGTTTTTCAACATTTATACAAAGCAAATTACTGAATCTGAAAATAATCTTAACTTTCCAAAGTCAATTTTTGTCTAGCTCCCTGAATTAGTAAAAATTTGAGCAACATTTCCTTTATAACAGAATGTTTTTAAATTCCAAATAAATTTAAATATAAAACTTAAATAAAAAGTTGAACTTTGAAAGTCAAATTTGACTAACTCTTTGGTTTTGTAGAAATTCCGCAGCGCTCCCCATATGAGAAGTACCTTTCGAAGATTT